CCTCCTGTCCCTGCTGTCCCTCCTGTCCCAGCTCTCTCTCCTGTCCCAGCTCTCTCTCCTGTCCCTGCCATCCCCGCTCTCCCTCAGCCCCCGCTGGAGGACCGCGCTCACGTGCCCGCCAGGGGGCGCCGCCGGCGCGGCAGCGGTTGGTCGGGGCGCGTGCGCGGTCGCGCGCGGCGATGGCGGCGCTGCTGGAGCACGAGAGCCAGATCTTCCTGGACCTGTTCCACCGGGACGGGCTCGTGGTGTGCGCCCGGGGGCTCGGCATCGACCGCCTGCTGCTGCGCTTCCTGCGCCTCTACTGCGAGCCCGCCAGCCTCGTGCTCGTGCTCAACACCGGCCCCGCCGAGGAGGTGAGGGGGCTGTCAGCGCCCGGCGCTGCCCCGCTCGGGGCCGGCGGGCGCGGCCCCGCAGTGCCCCGGGCGGGAGCGGCTCCTGGGGCCGGGAGCGGGCCGGGGGTGGGTGTGCGGGATCCGGGGCCGGGCCGGGCGCTGTCACAGAATCACTGAGTGGGTCAGGCTGGAAGGGACCACAGTGGGTCATCTGGTCCCACCTCCTGCTCCTGCTCCAGCAGGGTCATCCCAGAGCACACGGCACAGGATTGTGTCCAGACAGTTCGGGAGTATCCCCAGTGAGGAGACTCCACACCCTCTCTGGGCAATCTGTTCCAGTTCTCGGTCACTGCACAGGGAAGAAGTTCTTCCTCATGTTCAGGTGGAACTTCCTGAGCATCAGTTCCTGCCCGTTCCCTCTTGTCCCATTGCTGGGCACCTCCGAGCAGAGCCCGGTCCATCCTTTGCCCCCTCCCTGCAGATATGACAGACATTGAGGAGGTCCCCTCTCAGCTGTCTCTTCTCAGGGCTTTACAGACCTAGTTCCTCAGCCTGTCCTCAGAGGAGAGTCACCCCATCCTTTGTCACCCTGCGCTGGACCCACTCCGTGTCTCTCTTGTCCTGAGGATCCCAGAACTGGACACAACACTCCAGATGGGCCTCACCAGGGCTGAGTAGAGGGGCAGGATCACCTCCCTCGACCTGCTGGCAATGCGCTTCCTAATGCACCCCAGGACACTGTTGGCCTTCTTGGCCACGAGGGCACTGCTGGCTCAGGGACAGCTGGTTGTCCCCCAGGACCCCGTGTCCCTGGGGAAGCTGTCAGACCAGACACACTCGGGATCACATCAGCTGAATTCCTACTCCTGCAGCACAGTAAAGCCCCCAAAACAATACTGAGCTAAAACAAGCATATGTACAGAATTGTAAGTAACCACTGAGCGGAAAGGGATGAAACTTGCTGAAGGTTTGTCCCTGCTTGTACAAAAAATAGCTGCTCTTTTTTCCCTGGAACCAGGGAGATTTCCCACCATCAGGGAAGTGAGGTCCTGCAGACTTTTTATAGTGGCCATAGGGGAATAAATATCACAGCTTTAGTTTATAAGATTAAGCTTCATGTATAGGGCCTACCTGCTGTAGTTGTCTGATAGCAGGTGAGGGCATCAGAAGATGAACTCTTCCCAATTCTCTGTTCTTAAGGCAGTATTAAAATTGCATGTTCTCTGAAAATGAGCTGTGGAAATACAGGAAAGTGTAAGCTCCTTTGAGTGTCAGTTGCTCATATTTACTTAAGTATTTTCTAGCTACTACTGACAATATGTAGATTTTAAATCACCCAGATGAGTTTGAAACTGAACAAAGTATGTCAAAAGAAGAAAAAAGTCATGATAATTGTGACTTCCTTTAGTATGTTATACTGTCATGTTTTAATTTGTTTTGGACTGCTCCTAAAAATTGGCAGGGTATGTATAATAAAGGTGTTTATTGCATCCCTTTCATTAGTTACCACGATTATGTCTTTGTTTTTCTTGTATTCGGTTTAGGAGTATTTTATTGACCAGCTGAGGTCAGATGGAGTTGTTCACCTTCCTCGGCGCGTTACCAATGAAATTGCAAATAACACTCGGTACGAATTTTACACACAAGGAGGAGTCATCTTTGCAACAAGTCGGATCCTGGTGGTGGATTTCCTTACTGACAGAATTCCTGCCAACCTCATTACTGGTAAGAGTTTAATGAAATGAAGGTAAAAGTGTTCTGTTTGAACATACATAAAGCTTAATTCTATATGAAGAGTTCTACTAACCACTATTGAAGTTGAAGAACTTTTCCTTTCCTTCCCACCAAGACTGAGGTAAAAAGAGCAAATATGTAGTTCTTTCTTATTTTTAATAGTTTTCTTTGCTCCAAACTTGTTTGTCTTATTTAATCATACCATTTGAAAACATGCACATTATTTTTACAGAGCTGTAACAGGTTTTGCATTGCCACCAGAGGTCAGTGCCAGAGCAGCTGTGATAGACCCACTGCTTCATTTCCAGCTTCCCCAACACCTGGTTCCATGTACCTTACCTGTGTGTGAGACTGTACAGCCAAACCAACAAAAACTTGTAATAGTGTTTCTTGAGGAGGTAACACAGAAAAAGTGTTTCTAGGTTTTAGAAATGTTGTTTATAAAATCAGTGTAGAATCACATGTGAATTAACATCTGATGAACTCATAAAGTCCAGCTAAATGGAGATAAGAAATTTTCACTGCAGTAAAGAAGAATTATTCCTGGTAGTTTTAGCCAGGTAAAAATGATGTACTTGACAGCACAGTAAAACTGATGCAAGTGGGTTTAATAAAAAGTGGTAATAAAAGGGCTTACAGAGCAGGTACAAACTCACTCCATAAGCAGATATATATTGAGTGAAAGTCAGAAGGTATTATGATAAACACACAGTCTTACTGGCCCGTCACAAATTGGTTGTCCCCTGTCATGTCCATTCCGAGTCACATCTTGACAAACTGGAAGTTGTTCAGAAATGTGTGTGATCATTGTTATGTCCTGAAAAATTTGCTTCATGGGACAGATCTAACAATGACTAGAAAGATACCTTGTAGTGGATTATTCCATGACTTAATCATGAATGGCTAGCAGTTATATGGAATCCTTTTTTTCTAGATGCTTTTTCATTTTCCAAGCAAAGGCATATTAAAATCAATGTCTAGGTGCTGAGTTGAAGAAACTTGTTGCAGAATTAAATGCACTGTAAGTTTATGAACTTATGTAGGTACAAGGTAAAACCTGGGATGTTTGATGTCCTTTGCTTCCATTTCAGAAAGGCATTTATGATTCCACTGCAAGCTGTGAACAGATAAGAGTTACCACATAGGCCTCACTTCAGCAGGGGAGAGGGAAGAATGCAGTGTGCCATTTAATGTGATTAAGTGGGAGGAAAAAATACGCCTGAGTTTAACAGGTCTTGGCTGAGTGAACTGTGAATCCCAGAAGTATTTGTCTCGAACACCTAATTAAATTAAATTGTTGTTTCATTTCTCTTTACTGAAATATGCTTGATAAATCTTTTATTCCTAATATCCCCATAGCCCTGAATAAAATTGGGGGTGGACTCATACAGTTGATAGTATTTGCCATCCTTAATATGACTTATCAGAAGGGGGAGAAAAGCAATACAAATTGTTTTCAGAAGTTCTTTGAATGTGTAAACACTTGAACTGTTACCAATGAAACATACTTGACAAGACTAATTCCAGAATTTCTCTAACAAAAGAATGCAAATATCACAGACTTGAAAGTGTCAAACTTGCTCTGTTGTAACAGTGTGTTCTGTCGTGCATCTGCTTTTCCTGCTTTTCAAAGGCTCAAGTTCAAGTTATGCCTCAGGAATAAAGAATTTTCTAAGCTAATAAGTCCTGCCACTCAAGCACAAGATTTTTAATTTTTTTTTTTAATTAAAGATGCATCATTAACCCAGTTCTGTTATTTGGCAGTTCTATGGTACTGAAACTGAGGAGTGACTTGTTCGAACCCCAGAAAATTTGTTCAACACTCATTTTAGAAGATTTAAATTCCTATAATACAAACAATATTAGAATAATAAGACAGTTAGGAGGAAAATTCTATACAAAGTTGGACCTTTCTCAACTTCTTCTAACTTGAAAATGTTTTATTTTGCCAGGCATTTTGGTGTACAAAGCACACAGAATCATCGAGTCCTGCCAGGAAGCATTTATCCTGCGCCTGTATCGCCAGAAGAACAAGCAAGGCTTCATTAAAGCTTTTACAGATAATGCTGTTGCATTTAACACTGGCTTTTGCCACGTGGAAAGAGTGATGAAAAACCTTTTTGTCAGTAAGCTTTATCTGTGGCCAAGGTGAGGCACTTCTTTACTTCACTGGAGAGTTAAACTTAAAAGAAAGATGAAGGATGTTAGATGGGTTCCTCAGAAAATGAGGTGTATGCAGTCACACTGCTTATGGGTGTTCCCTCTTAGATCCCCAAACAAACTTCAGTCAGGTTTTGACTGAAGTGGTCTTGAAGATGCTAAATTTCTGTTCATATTTTTGAAAATAGACTCAAATTAACTCTGTAAGGGGCTGAATCTTATGGCAGAGCTGGCCTTTTAGCCAACAGAGATCACAGCAGAAAGTGACACTCCTAATAGCTCAAAAAAACTTCCCTTATGAAACAGAGTATTTAAGCCATGAAGTAACAAGAATACAGTCTCTCAGTTCTCCATTCAGGGAGGTATTTGTTTCCAGCTGTGATGAAACCCCATGGATCTCTTTCTACATGTCAGATTTTTTTAATCTTCTTTTACATGTATGTTGTGTATGAAGAATATTTCTTAATGACCGATAAAAAACAAATTACTGAGTTTGTGGCATGTGTTAAGTCATTCAGAAGCAGAGCCACAAATGGAACTGGAGCCTTTATCTGCTGCCCCATTCAGTGCTCTTGCCTTGGGCAGGAGCTCTGCCCATTTGTTCCAGGCTAGAATGTGTTTCACTCCATCTTAACGAACTGTCACTCTGCCTTGTAAACTCTGTTTTTAACAGTCTTTCTTCCAGTATCCCAGGGAAGTAGAAGTGGACATAACTAGGGCAAGAAAGGTTGGATGAAAGCTCTCTCTGTTTTGTTCCTCGGGTTCTGACCCACGGCAAGGCCTGGGGGTGCAGTGTTGCAGGAAGGGAGATGCCCTGGGAGTTCCAGAGGTTGGCAGGCACTGGGCTCTCCGAGCCTCCCTGTTAGGGAAAGGCAGTGACATGTCTGTGCCTGTGCAGCTGAGGGGCTGCAGGGGAGGGTTCCAACCAGGACCTGCTGCTCATCCTTGCAAGCTGGGAATGTCACAGAACCTGCTGGTGCGGTGTCTGATTTCAAAGAATTCATGAGCCAGTTCCTGTTTCCCCCTTATGAGATTTTTTGGGGTTTACTTTAGTATTTGTTCAGTGTATTGATGATGCAGAATCTAGTGCAGTAATTTGCCATGGCTCATTCACCAGCCCTATAGGCTCTCATGACTAGAATGCCTACAGGCATCATTGTGGAACAGATGGTTTTCTGAGGCTGTTCATAAGATTGCAGTCATCACATCAGTAGAATCTGATTTACTTTGGAATTAACTTACTTGTTCACATTTAAAACAATTGTAATTGTAGTTCATACAAACTTTTGAGTAATTGTGGGTCAAGAAAACTTTCCATGTAAATCTTAATAAGCTGTTTTCCTCTTAGATTTCATATAGCAGTGAACTCATTTTTAGAGAAGCATAAACCTGAAGTGGTGGAAATACATGTGGCAATGACCCCTGCTATGCTTGCTATCCAGACCTCAATCCTGGACATTTTGAATGCCTGTCTGAGAGAACTCAAACGTTATAATCCAGTTCTTGAAGTAGAAGATCTCTCTTTAGAAAATGCGATTGGAAAACCTTTTGACAAGGTAACCATTTTGATTGTTTTGCAGTGTCTAACTAACAGGATGTAGATCTTCAAACTGCCATACAAACAGAAATGTTATTTGTAAAATTAATAACCTTCAGCAGCTGAATGTTCTCCCATGACATGCTTATTAGTGGTACCAGGTGATTTAATAGTGATGTGACAGTTGCCAGTAGGGTTTTTGGTGTATAGGTGTTATTGTTCTTCCTTCATTTCCCAAGGCTTACAGCAAGAACATCCTGATTCAAGGTTTTCTTTCCTGTTTGTGGTTTCCATTTTCTCTAGTAGGAGAAGCACAAGTATATAGTAGACAATATGCACATGCATGCATCTGCTGTATCTTTATATATGTCAATAATTGTGTGTTCATTGCTGTTTGTGGCAGATGTGCAATGTTTGGCATACATGTGCTTTCTGTAAGGTGAAGTCATAAACTTCAACCATCGTAGTGAAACACAGTTATTTCTTAACTACTATTTAATCCTGATGTAAGGCCTTCTGTACTTTAAATATCTGGAGGTTTTTTCCTTAAGCTTTACAGGTTGCACATCTGCATGGTACCAACCTTATTTTGGAAATTAAATGCCATTATAATGGTTTCTGCTTTACAGGCCAGTGCCAGTAAATTAAGGGGGGGGGAGTATTGTACCAGTGTTTTATTATTTGATGGAAAGGAAAAAGTGTACTGAAAGCATTCATTGATATACATCTGCTAATTGCTGAAATATTTTACATAAAGGCATCTATATTATGTTAACTTTGCTAAAAAATGATAACTTATATAAAAAAAATACCTTACCATCAGATCTTTAATTTGGTATCCTTAATAACTTCAGGAAACTAGTGGCATCCCCTATAAAGGGGAAAAAAAAGTGGATTTTTAGCATGGTTAGTGGACTATATATTTGACATCCTGAACTTTCCAATTTATATTTCCAGACAATACGTCACTATTTAGATCCTCTCTGGCATCAGCTTGGAGCTAAGACAAAATCTTTGGTCCAGGATTTGAAGATACTCCGTACTTTGCTCCTGTATCTCACTCAGTATGATTGTGTCACCTTCCTTAATCTTCTGGAGTCACTGAAAGCAAGTGAAAAAGCTTTTGGTGAGAATTCAGGTAAACACTGAAGATCCATACAAGTCAATTCATGAAACAGTGAAATGCTGATGTTTTTAATTAGCATTCCCAAACATTTGAAGGTACCTAATTAGGTTTTACATAACCAGCCATAAGGATGTAGGTTTTTATTGACAGATAATGCTTTCATCTTCCCACCTAACTGCTGTTACTTAACAGGGGCAGATTTGCATCACATTTGTCTCTTATTAAGCTGGTGATTGCACAGCAAGCAGGTAGCACAGGTATTCCAGATGAGAAGTTTGGGGCTGATACTGCAAAGGGTTGAAACACATCCCCATTGCAGATGTCAAACTAGTGCTGCTTCCTCCTCCTTTCCCTCAGGTTGGCTGTTCCTTGACGCCAGCACCTCGATGTTTGTGAACGCTCGGGCTCGAGTTTATCGCATTGCAGAGGAGAAGCTGAGTCAGAAAGGCAAAGGCTCTGAAAAACGTGATGTGAGGAAGGAAAATGGTACTGATCATTCCTAATTTTAAGTTTGGGAGTGTCACACGATTTCAAGTGCTTCGCATGTTATTACTGGGGCTCTGGTTCCCTACGTGAACTTACACAGCTCAGGATCTCAGTCTGTTAGCTGGGATAAGCTGAGACACAATCTTAGTTCAAAAAGCATATAATAAACAACATACCAGAGTCATGAAGAAATAAGGGGTTCTCCTAAGCTTGCTCAGCTGATCACTGGGAGAGCTTTTATGGAATTCTTGTGTTGCACTGGTGTTTAGCTTGATCTTTATGATTTTACTTGAACAGGTAGGAGGCTGGGGTTGTTTTTATTAAAAAAATATACCCAGGAGTTTCAGAATTGAAGAATAACTGAATATTTCAACTTTTTGCTTCACTAAAGCACTTATCCCCATTTTTAAAGTGAAGAGTGTTCTCCAACCCAGTAGCATAACACATTGCATATGTAGGCTGTTGAATATCATATTTGCCAACAGCCATCACGCTATTGACATCTAACCACTAATTTAAAGTCTGAGGGATATTTTGGCTGTAGGAGCTGCTATGTTCAATCTTACTTTGTTTCAGAACTGAAAAGGGAACTGGTTCTCGAAAGTAACCCAAAATGGGAAGCTTTGAGAGAAGTACTGAAAGAGATTGAAAATGAGAATAAGAACAGTGACAACCTTGGTGGTCCAGGTGAGAGATTACTAAATGATGAAAGTTTTCACGGTACGGCTGGTTTGCACTTCTGCTTGTCTTTGGAGAGAGGGAACCTAACTCTTTACTGCAGTTTTATCAAAGAGCTAATTTAAATTTAATAATTTGTGGACTTAAGATGAGGAGTTTATGTTTACTGTTTACATAAACTATGTAAAATTAGACAGTTTTACATAAACTCGTATTTAATTCTTGCTCTCAGAGAGAAATGCTGTTGGTTACCATGCAGTACAGTTTAGGAAAGAACCTGTATTATTCTGAGAAATTTTTTTAACTTACATTTCAATATTATACTGATACCTTAGTTCCAACCCCAACAAAACTGACATGGAAATTTATAATAATCAAGGTACCATTCATTCATTTCTTAAGTTCAAGTTCAAAAAATTGCCCTTTCTAACTCATACATTTCTTCTCCTCCACTTGAAAATGTGCCTCTCCAGGAGATGCACATAAATGGGGTAGAGATTAGAAGGCAGGGTAGAGAGTCTAACTGCTTTGCTGCCTTTCCTATTTTAGGGCTGTTCAGCCCCTTAAATTTCAGCAAGTTTTATTTTAGGAAATAGTAAGGGTAAAAAGTGCTCTTTTCTCCCACCCACAGTGTTCTGACTGCATAAGAACTGGCTCTCTCACCTAGTGTTGTAGGAGTTTATCTGAGTCAGCTTGTGGAGAATTGTTATTCAAGACCACAAATGTCAATAATACTGTGTGAAATATGTATTTTTTGACTTTCTATCACAGCTGACAAAGGCTGAAAATTAGAATGGTCTAAATTAAGTTCTGTCTTATTCCACGTCTTAAAAAGAAGTAGTTGTGAGTATGTTTCAATACACACTATGTTTCAGATGGCCAGAAGGACAACCTCACAAATTTAGATGTTGTGAGAATAAGGAATGCTGAACTTCCATTAATCTCCTCTAATCTAGTTTGGTACAAAACGCCCATGCACTTTAGATTTCTCTCCAAGTCCAGAGCAACTGTGACAACCAAATACAAAAGTCTTTGGCAGGCATTACTTCCAGGCTCAGTAAAACCAATTGGCTTAAGAGATGCCTTGTAGGTGGAAAAGCAGCACAGCATTACAGCCTGTAAAAATGATATTGTTTCTTGACTGCAGGGCAAGTGCTCATTTGTGCCAGTGATGACCGAGCCTGTGCACAGCTCAGGGAGTTTATTATTGCTGGGGCAGAAGCTTTTTTAACAAGGCTGTATAACAAAACCTTTGGAAAGGATGAGAAAGCTGGAGAACTATGGATTACAGACAGAAAAGCCATCAAGTCCAAAGGAAATGCCAAATCAGATCCAGGGCCTCAAGCCAAAAAAGCCAAACTTGCAGCTTCTTCAAAACAAAAGAAACACAAGAAGCAACAAGACCGGACTATAATCCAAATGATGGGGAAAACCGAGGAGGAAAAGAGAGAGGAGTTAGAGGTGGAAGAGAACAAAGAATTAAGCAGTAGCCAAGAAAGCAGCGGTGAAGAGGCCATTCCTGAAGATTTTGATGTGAACCTCCCCTCCGATTGTTACTATGGGATTTTCAAGGACCCGCTGACCATCATCCACCCGCTGCAGAGCTGTGGGGATCCCTACGCCCTCACCCGCGTCCTGCACGAGGTGGAGCCCAGATATGTGGTGTTGTATGATGCAGAACTCACCTTTGTCCGGCAGCTGGAGATCTACAAGGCCAGCAGGCCTGGGAAGCCTCTGAGGCAAGTTCACTGGGTAATTCTAGTCTTAAAAACTAAAAAATGCACTGTCAGCAGTCAAGGCAGAACATGCAGCTGTTCATTTTCTTTAGCTGCCCTTTAATTCCTGTTTAGCCCTCTTCCTAATTTTAAACAAAAGCAAAATGTCTGGAGTAACCAAAAGATAATTTTTACTTTCCAGAGGGTATTTATTCCCTTAGGGCAGAAACATACCTGTTAAAAACCCTGAAGTTCATTCCATCTTCTTCAAGACCTCTGCTTTGATGATCTCAGGGGCAGTAGATCATTTTGAGGTGGTGTAGTCTCATTTTAAACCATTTCTGTGGGTATGATTTTTACACAATAAGATTCATTTTGGATTTAATTCATGTTCACATTTCCTGATGTTGGTCATGCTGAAGACCAGTAATTCAGAAACTGCAACAGAAAAACAAGTGTAGGAAAACACAATAAAGAAAATGAGAAGTATTTGCAGTTATACTTTGTTCTAGCTGACAGAAGGATCACCACACTGTGTATTTGATACACCTGTAAATTGCCAAACTCACTTTTATGAATAAATTTCACAAACTAATTAAAAATACAGAAAACTTTAATATACTATTGACTGACTTGTCAGGCTACTAATCTTAAATGTTGGTTGTGGGTGTTTTTAAGTTAATATGAAGTTTTGTAAGGTGTTTTTTTTCTCTTTCATACCTACAGAGTTTATTTTCTCATATATGGAGGCTCCACAGAAGAGCAGCGTTATCTCACAGCTCTGAGGAAAGAGAAGGAGGCCTTTGAAAAACTCATTCGGTAACACAATTACCTTAACCACCTTTATTATTAGTGTTCTATGTAATTCCCTTACATGCTTACACTTCAAATAGAGTGAAGTTCTTAACTGTGTGAAGGCTTTAAATAAACTTTTAATTCAATTGTTTTTCAGGTGTTAAGAGAGCTTTCCCACTGAGAATCAACAAAAAGTCAAAACCCATTTTATTTATTAATTTTATCGGGATTTCATATTAAACTTCTAAGGCTGAACAGCACCTCTTGGATTTTTCCCTAATTGTCTGTGAATTTCATTTTTGTAATTGTCTTTTTGTCTGCAAGTAGCATTTCTTGTAAGATAATTCCTAAGGCTTTTATAACCTAAGTCAGTTGGGGAAACAAAATAATTATTTCCTTAGACTGTATAAGACAGTATTTTTACTGACAGTATCTTCTCATCAGGTTATAGTGCTATTACTAGTTATTAGTTCCTTTGTTTATTATGCTCTGAGAAGTTCTAGAAATAAAAAAATAATCAGATGCTAAAATGTGCTGATAATTGAAATAGAAATACAGCATCTAGCCCAACAATGTGGAAAACCTGGTGAACTGCAGTTCTGATCAGGTCTGCAGTTAGGATTAGACTATATATATTTTACATCTGGATGAAGGGTGTTAAACTATTTTGGTGGTTTTTTCTCATATATTTGCAGTTTTTAGTGTGTGTTTGTTTGTGGTTCCTTAGAGAGAAGGCCAGCATGGTTGTTCCTGAAGAGAGAGAAGGGAGAGATGAAACAAACTTGGACCTGATCCGAGACGCCAAACCCCCCGGGGTGGCTGCCGACACACGCAAAGCAGGTGAGCAGGGCCTGGGCTCAGGCTGAGCTCGGAGATGCTGGAAAACTCCATCACTGCTGCCCTGGAAATGCCACCAGGGACCCAGCCCCAGGGTCACAGACACCTACACTGGCTCTGCAGTCTTCATGGGAAAGAAACAGTATTTCCCAGTGACGGTGAATTGTGGTTTTCTCTGACAATAGAGACTAAAGAAGGGTTTTACCATTGAGACAGATACAATTTGGATCGTTTCTGGGAAGCTTGTTGGCTGTAAGACTTTCTAGTGCTGCTGGTAAAGCGAGAAATTAAAACATAGAAACTGAAGTCTGCAGATAGTCAAAGGAAGTCAAGTTGTCCTTGAGCTAGTAAATGTTGGGGACATCTTTTCATCTTGGCAGAACAGATTGCCTGGGTAAACGACTGCACATTGTGTTTTTGATCACTTTCTTTGTAATAAAACAGCCTTTTTCTTTTTTTCCAGTTCTAACCACATTTTTGTTGCTTTCCTCTGACATCTATACTGTGCCTTTATCTTCACAGCTCTGCCTGTTTTTCATTGCTGTCATTCCTGTAATCCTGCTCTCCTTTACCATTTGCTCTCTAATCTTTGCTTTTATGTCTTTTGTGGCCTTGGTGCTGCAGGCTCTTTACGTGGTCTTTTTGCAGACCTATAGAGGCCAACACATAAGTCCTACAATAAAATGCCATATTTCTGTGGGAAACAGCTGGAAATAGAAAGGATCAGCTTCGTTGTCTTGTTTTGCAGGCAACTTTTTAAAGATTTTCCTGACTTATTTAAATAACTTTCATCTACAGTTGAATGTATTTCATTGTCACATGCACAAAGCTTACAGCAGGTAGCATGGGAGTTCTGTGAAACTGCAGAGTGTACTCCATAAACTACAGGACATAATTGGGCAACTGAAAATTAAATGAAGTCTGGATTTATTAAATGCTGAATTCGAGGTATAATTTGGGATGTGAAGTCCATCCATTACAGAAGCATTGGCAGCACACATGAAAGCTCTACAGCTGGAGCTGCACGTCACAAGTATAGGGATAACTGTGTTTATTTTGCTCTTTAGGGGGACAGGAGCAGAAGGATGTTCAGCAAACTATAATCGTGGATATGCGGGAATTCCGCAGTGAGCTCCCGTCGCTGATTCATCGCCGTGGGATTGACATTGAGCCTGTTACTCTGGAAGTTGGAGATTATATTTTGACTCCTGATATCTGTGTGGAGCGGAAAAGCATCAGCGATCTGATTGGTTCCCTAAACAATGGGAGGCTGTATTCCCAGTGCGTTTCCATGTGCCGGTACTACAAGCGACCAGTCCTCCTGATTGAGTTTGATCCTAACAAATCGTTCTCCCTGATCCCACGGGGCTCTCTACAGCAGGAAATTTCCAGTAATGATGTTACTTCTAAACTGACCCTCCTTACGCTGCATTTCCCGAAGCTGCGGATCCTGTGGTGTCCCTCTCCCCACGCCACCGCGGAGCTGTTCGAGGAGCTGAAACAGAACCACCCCCAGCCCGACGCAGAGACGGCCATGGCCGTGACCGCAGACTCCGAAATCCTGCCCGAGTCGGACAAGTACAACCCTGGGCCCCAGGACTTCCTCTTAAAAATGCCAGGTGTGAATGCCAAGAACTGCCGGGCCCTGATGAACCACGTGAGGAGCATCGCAGAGCTGGTGACGCTGTCCAAGGACGAGCTCTCCAGGATTTTGGGGAATGCTGCCAATGCCACGCAACTCTACGACTTCATTCACCTCACCTATGCAGAGGCACTGGCCAAAGGGAAAAGCAAAAGGTGACTAATGCCATTGTTCAACGTGGAGCACAGATAAACTCTTCTGGCACAGGACTTCGGCAAATACATGAAATATTTTGATAAATGCCCCCTCTCAGATAACCAGCTCTTTCTTGCTAATGCTGTTCCATCAGTTTGAAAATGTGAGTTAATTATTACTGAAGGCAAGTTTCAAAAGGAATAAGTATTTCTAATAGAAAAATGTGAATTATTTTTATTTGTTTTAAAGCACTTTAACCAATTCAATAATGAATTACTGAATTACCACTGAATTAACTAAATTTTTTCACCAATTCCAAAAGAATTAAGTGCTAAGACTAATTGATAAAGGTGTTTTCATATGGAAGTTATGATGTCTTGTTAAAGCTAAAAATGTACCATGTTTTGATTAGTGTGTGTGACTTGCTGCACAAAACATCACCTTGCTTTTGCCATTTTTAATGTCTTGCTCTCTGGAAACAGCCAGTTTTTGATTGACAGTGATGAGCTATATCATAGTCTTTGCTCAGGAGTTTTTTAGAATATACTTGGACTCAATCCTAAATTTTAGAATTACCATCGTAAGCCTTTGTCCCAGTAAGATACAGTTCTATGCTATGCTTTACATTCTCCTTGCTTACTTTACTGCAAGTTATATTTTCTGCCATTCCAAAGTCAGTACAGCTCTGTCTTGATGGGTTTTGCAAAGTGCATTCCTTTGGGCTGGACTGGACAGTGATTCTGAACTCTCAGTGTGCCTTACTTATACTTTGAAGATGCCTTATTTTTTTAATCAGTTTTGATAGTTCTTTCACATCATTCACTGGCAAGTGAAAAATCTGGGGATACCATTGGCACTATTCTTTTAAATATACCAGGCCGTATTTCCTCTTGTAAAATGCAATAGTTTTCTAAGCAAGGTTTTCCAAAAGTGTGGACAATTCTTTCAATATTGATTTCTTTCTGTGTCCAATTGCACTTGCATTTTAATGTCTCAAATTGTCCATTGTCATCTAGAAGATAAAACTTTCAGCGTTCTGTGTAGCATAAAAGAGGGAAAAGTTATTCTTCTTTTGATAGTTTGTGAATGTGTTCATTGTTAAATTATATATTCTGCACTGAACTTTGATACTGGGTAACAAACTGCCATTGCCAAAAGGGTTGGTCCAGTGTCATTCTGTGGTTATGTATTTACATTTGCTATTTACAAACCCTTATCTGTGATTTGTCCATGTATTTATACGATTCTAATGGGAACAACAGATCAAAAGTATCTCCTTCATGAAAGGAGAAAATATTTTTTATGTTCATGTTCAGTGCAAACTGTTCTGTGCACTTTCAGGTTTGTTTACTGTGCATTTTAAGTATGAACTATGAATTGTTAACATATTCTAGGGCTGAGCTGTGACAAATTTCCTAAGTGAATTCTGCAGATGCAAATTTCAGTATTAAATACATCCATAATATTAAAATTTGTTAATTATCTCGTTTCTCATTTGGCTGTGTTGATATCAACATTTTTATTTTTAGTGTGTGATTTTATATTGCCCTATATTCTAATTTATTTAATATAAAACCAAGCTTTTCATGAGACTTTTGCGTTGGAAATGATCAGGGTTGAGAATACCCATAAAATGGTGCTAAGAGAGCAGAAAATCAAAGTTCATAACTGACCTGAGTGTGTTAGAAAAGGGGAGGTGACCAACCTTTGAGAACAGCCATTGGAGCTCCAGGAGCCGTGGGGTTGGGTTTTTTCACAGGTACTGCCTCGGCTCTGGCAGTGAGGTTTGGGGGGTTTTGCATAGATTGTATGGGGTGAAAATGAAGGGTATATGAAGAGGTGATAAAGTAGTAGCTTTGTGTTGGATGCTAGATGAAATTACAAATGCAATTAAATAATTATTTGCTAAATATTTTGATGCAATTACCTTTTGCTTATATACATGGAATTTTTGTAAAGCTTTTTCCTTTTCTTTCTCTGTGCAGGATTTGTCTTTTTCTTTGAACACCCCCCAGTAACATTGTTGCCTGTTGTTCTTGCTGTCTGTGCTCTGGCATTCTCTGTGCTGGGTTCAGCTGTGTCCCCTGGTGGGGCAGTAGGTCCCCATTGTGCCCCAAGCTGGAACAGGACTTGTGTTCTGACAGCACTTAACCCTGAAGGAACCCAGCCAAGGCTCTGCCTGGATGGACTCACAGCACTCGGGTGGGTGACTGAGGAAAATCCTGCCCTTGGGGTGTTCTTTAGCTCGTTTGCAACAGTCGTGGAATATTGTGTCTTGTCATTGCTTGATGTTTTAAGCCTGTGCTTTTCTATTAAAAAAAAGCAAACAGAACCCTGCTGTCTTCAGTCTGTGAGTGTCTCAGGTTCTTTCTTATCCCCAAACCAAGACTCTGTTTCCAGGTCACTCAATATGTGAAGCCCATGGGGTTCACATGATATTGGGAACTAAGTTTGCAGGAACGCTTTTGCTGGCAATGTCACTGTGCAGTTCCAAACCAAAACTAACTCTACTTTTGAAGTTACTTCTTCATGAAGGTGTAACATAGGGCTTTTCTAGTACCAGCTGGATTGACTGCTTTCAGAACTTAAATGTAAACCAGTTGACCCAAAATCCACGCTGCTTATAACACTGTAAAAAACAGTGACTCTTTGAGAAAGTAGAGAAGTTTAAATGTGCAGATTGTTGTGGCTGTGAGGCTTTCTCATTTGCAGAGTGATAGTACAACCACAAACAACATAATTTTTAAATATAAAAACACTTGTCTCTAAAGGTTTCCTTAGTCATCCAGAATTCCAATTCTATTACTGTAGAATAGAATCCAAAAGCAAACGTCTGCCAGAAAAACTGTTATTAAACAGATACATTTATATGCCAAACAGCATAAAAAAGTGTAACTGAGGGTCATTAAAGAAACTTGTCCTGTGTGGGCTCAGCAAGAGCCGCTCTGTAGTTTGGGCTCCAGGAGGAGTGAGGTCTGCAATCCTTTTATAAGGACTGTTTTAGGATAAGGTTCTCCTTAACCCTTTTTCCAAGATAACCTAAATTACATTAATATTCAGTTGATCTGTTTTCTAAAGTACATGATTTTAAGAAATGCAAGTAGGGTCATAAAAAGATCAGAAACCTTTGCTGCAGGATTTTGTAGCGCTTTGTATTTATAACTTGGTTCACACGCTCATTCTTTCTTGACAAAAGATTTGTGGATATTTGCAGAATCAAACTAAGCCCTTTATGTGCTTCATATGAAATGGTTAATATCTGCTTAACTGTGAGATACCTTCTTGCATTGAAAATGCACTCACCGACAGTATATGCACTAATTTTTCTTAATTTGCAACTTTTTTCACCAAAGTTTTCAGTTTTTGTCTATAGTCATCCTCTCCAAAGCTTCCTCTCAATATTTCTAATACCCAGTTTCACAGTGGGCTGGCAGCCTAGGCAACAGTAAGACAGAACTGATATACCTATTTGTCAATTATATTTCTTGCTTCTTTTATTTCCAGTTCATTCTAAGTTCAGCTTGAAGCCACAAGAAATAATATCCCTCACCTACAAGATGAGGGGGGAAGAATTAAACATCAAGAATCTTTCTTGATGTTTATCAATCAAAAATGACTTAGCTGTGATAACAGCAGGTTTGGTGAGGTTAGTAATGTGTAAATATTACATCCCCTGTACTCTGGAGTTGCTCATTTGTTTATTTTAAATCAAGGTTGAAGTTCTAACATGTGAAAAAGGGTGTGATTCATGTGGCACAGAATGATGCCGAAGCCTCTAAGTAATAAAAAAAAACTTTAAATGTTCCCACTCCCCACCAGCCACTACAAATGGGATCAGAGGAAGTCAGTGCAAAACTTGACCCAGAGTGTAGCTGAGAGGTAATTCTGAGCTGCTCTCCTCCCCTTGGCTCCAGAGGAAACACTGGCATTGTCCATCAAAAATGATACTACAGAAGAGGAACTAAGAGGATCACTTCAGCACTATTATCTCCCCTTGTATTTTATTCTTGAAATCAGCCAGCAGGTTTGGGGTGGGAATTTACTCCAAAGGCCAGAGAGAGAGAATGTACATGACTGACCAAGTGTTTTGATAAGGCTGTACATGGCAATATTCAAAGGTTTTAAAGTTTCACTGCCATTTTTTATTTTGAGTACGAAATGTTAGGAGTTCATCTCCCAGACTTCAATACAAACAGGAGGACCATTTTTTTCCTTGAGTTTTGACGTGTATTTTGCAAGCTTCTCTGCAATAAATAAAGAGGAAGAAATATTCTCAGCCACGACCTTGAAAATAGGGAAGAACTGTTCAGTAGCTTGGCCAGCCAATATTTAGCTGAGAGATGAATTCCTTAGTCTTACTGAACTTAGTAAGGGTAACCAGGGCTGCTACACTGCTATGGTGATTTGTTGTCTAAACAGAAGATGTTGCTGCAATATATCAAAATGGGCTAATTTTAGTGTGATTTTTCTTTTAAAGCATGGCAAAATTACCTTGATCCACAACTGCTATAAAGCAGTCCTAGGAATATTAGTTCGGGGTTAAATAGATCCTATTCTCTCAGCTTGCATTTTACCTTGTATTTGTTTGTAAGAGCTTCCCTCTGTAAACAAATGCTTGGATCCCATTTCTAGGGTCCTCTGTCCCTCAGTGTTATTTCTTTTTTCTTTCACCTTAATCATCTCCTATCAAAGACTGTAGTTATTAAACTGACATTGATATTAAAATATAGTGGGTTGGGGGGGGTTCTCAGCCCCAGCACCTCCTTAGGGATCCCTGACATATTTCTAGTGGCTTGAATAAGTCATTTATTATTCCCCAAACGAGGAGTTTCAGCTGATATCTCCCAGGAATCTCTGCCTTTCCGTTCATTATCAGCTGGACTGGGTAACATCACACTGGGCATTGGCACATCCACACACAGACACAGAACCTGCTGGGCTGGGTAACATGAGCCTGCACATCCTCAGTGTCCAAGGCTCTGGAAATGACCCTGGAAAAGTAAGCTAAGCCTTTCCCTGGTTCTATATATAAAACTGTTTGTTTAATTGGTGGAGTGCACCAAGAATAAATAATGAGCTAATTCTGAAGATCATTCCCAGAACAGCCAGCTAGGATTGTTTCTGCAAGTCAGAACTTTCTCCTCTCCTTTGTTTGGTTTTTTATATCATATTAAGGTGAACAGCTTTATCTAAATGCAGTTTTAGGAACGGTGCAATATTTCAAGAATTAAGCATTCTGCACATAAGTGAAGTTTTGGAGAGTTTGTTTACTGAATGTAAAAGTAGTTGAAAGTTCAAATTCTAAAACTGGATCAAGGATTTTAACCAGATGAAGTTTCTTCCATGCAAAATATAAGGAAAAAAAGAAAGAAAGAAAGAAAAAAAACCCCTTTCAAGTACTCTCAATCGATTATGGAAGACTACCATCATATTTTTTCCAGACCATATTTACCTTGCTTAATAACAGTTAAAAACTATGAACTTAAATACAAATTTTATCTTAGAAGAAAAAAAAATTTTAAAAAGACTTAAACAGGTATAGTAATTACTTTTTCCACTTTTTCATTAAATCTTAAGCTGTAATAGGTTATAAAGGCTTAAAATATTTTTTTAAATCCTTTTTTATGTATTTTACCTTTAATGTACCAGTACCATACATGACTCTATGTCTCAGTGTGTGCACTAACAAACAGATGAGGTACAAAACAGCTCACAGAGTTCAGAGGGAAGCAGAAGGACTGTCCAGTAGCAGAGTAGGCTTACTCATGGACTTGCTGATGATTTCTTATATTAATACAGTAATGGTCCTGTTTAATGACTGTGGACATAAGTGGAACTCATTTAACTTGACCATCTGTGGTTGAAAGATTACAACCTCTAGTCAAATACAGAGACTCTATAAGGAGAGCACTGTGTCTCTTTGCTAGGTTATAAAATTAAGAGCTTTAGTTCTGTCCTGCACTTGGTGATGTGTTTATTTAATCTCACAAACAGGGACCCAGAAAAACAGAAGGCAAAGGGATATGGCTGAGCTGACAAAGCAGCTGTGAAACCAAAACTCAGCACTGACTCGTGGGGCAGTTCACACCTCACTCAGCTTGTCTTTCATACCCTTCCCTAGGTTTTTTCAGTTCTGATGTGCTGTTGCTTATTACCAGTATAAGGTAAAAGTCTTCATTGCAGTAAGTGTCTGGTGATCCCCTGAGTAATGTACACCTGAAGTTTCCCTTTATTCCCAGGACTGATGCACAGATTCACCCTGGGTCACATGCAGACACATTCTGCCACCTCCAGTACAGCTTTGGGACCCAATATGACACCTACCCTATGGCATGAACTCACCAATAAAACCCAGAAGCCAGGTTAATCTTGTCTTCTGGGTCATCTCTAACTCCCCTGTGAGAGAGGGAAGCTGGGGATTAAGTGGTAGCACGGAGTCAAGAACCAAGAAGTTACTGTTTTGCTGCTAGACTTTCTCAGTTCAAGTCCCTGTTCAAAGAGTGAGTTTTAAATACTACAGAGAAATTCAGGCTGGCAGGCAGGACCCACTTCAGACCTAGAAAATCTGGATTTCTGAGCAGCTGTAATTAGCTTGACCCTTATTTTTAGGGCCACGCTGCTTAAACTGGCAGATTTCAAAATGGGCTCCAGGCCAAATCAGTTATGATCTGGTTTTATTTATCTGAAAGGCTCATGTGGACCTAATTTACTATTGTGTGCTAAGAAATAATGAGTAAGTAGAAGGGATTATGAACACATGTTTGGCCTGGAGAGGAAGAGAAAATGCAGCCATAATTTCAATTCTGAAATGTCTTACTTCATCATAAGCTTAAGTTTCAAAGCTGACATGGAGATTTTGGTACATAATACCTCATTTTCAACTAATTGCATCTTAACTGAACATCGAAACCTTCAATTTGGAAGCTCAAATTAGCAGCTAAGTGATGGTGCTTTTTTCCCAGTTGTGTGTAGATGCCAACTGGAGGATCTAGGCATCTTATAAGTACTGGATAAAATAGATTGAGATAGCAATTAGAACTCTTTAATCAAATTTAGCCAAGGTAGAGAGGAAACTATGGGGAAGCAACAGTTATGCAACCCCAGTCTTGTCTGCAGAGGAGATCCGTGTCCTATCCCCTACTCTCACATCAACACTTTGCCTCTTTGCCTTTGAGAATATGTAAAAACTCATGCTTTTCGTACCAGCTATCTATTATTTAACTCTTTAGCAGTTCTCATTATGTACCTTTGGGGAGACAAGTTTTTTTTCAAAAAATAATCCATACACCAGCCTATTTCATTCTAACTGGAAAAAAAAAAGAAAGAATAAGGCTAGAAATTTAGTTCAACTGCCAGTAAACAAGACTGTTAGCAACTAAAATAAACACTAAATTAGATATTGCATTAAGTACAAAGCAGCAGCTTAGATTCGAGCTCTGTTTCATTTTATGAGAGTGCATTGTAAGAGCAATTGACTTCAGAAGAATTAGTATTTCCCAGGTCTTTTTACTTGCTTGTAGCAGAATCACAGACTGCGTAAAGTTGGAAGGAAGGGACCACAGTGGGTCATCTGGTCCCACCTCCTGTTCCTGCTCCAGCAGGGTCATCCCAGAGCACACGGCACAGGACTGTGTCCAGGCAGTTCTGGAATATCTTCAGTGAGGAGACTCCACACCCTCTCTGGACAATCTGTTCCAGTGCTCGGTCACTGCACAGTGAAGAAGTTCTTCCTCATGTTCAGGTGGAACTTCCTGAGCATCAGTTCCTGCCCATTCCCTCTTGTCCCATTGCTGGGCACCCCCAAGCAGAGCCCGGTCCATCCTCTGACCCCTCCCTGCAGATCTGATAGACATCGAGGAGGTCCCCTCTCAGTCACCTCTTCCTCAGGCTGAACAGTCCCAGTGGTTAAACTTACTTCTGCAACTGTGTTTATTAACATCTATCCTGCCTTTCAAGCCATTTGTTAACATGGGGAGAGCAAAAAATATTTGCTAACACTGAAAGATTTCCCATAGATACAAAAAATTAATTTGTTCTATTAAAATAGCATGCAAATATCTAAACAGTTTCCAAACACAGCACACACAGCTGGCACTCATGGTAACAGGCAATAGCACTCCACAATATACTCATGTATCAGACTACTTGCACAGCGACACTATCCCAACTTTGATAACTACAAATCCACCTTAGTTCCCAATTAGCACTATGCCAGAGAGGCCTAAAAACCTTAATATGGTCCTGCACAATCTCCAAGACAGATCCCTCTCTGGAACCAATATTTGATCACCAATAGCTCACACTGTGCACTGTCCATGGTTCCACCCCACATATGGTTCAAAAGGCCATAAGGCACAAACTGGTGGAGCTGGGAATACATCATCTAGGCTTCTCTATGCATCCTCTTTTCTGTCCAGTCTCAGAAAAGCAGGATCAGGCGAGCCAGATCCTGCAGCATGGCTCCTCACATGTCCATTTATTGGAAAGTCATAATCAGCACCCTCATTATGCTACTTTTCATCCTGGATCTCTTAAAATAGAATCATGCAGCAGATGTGTGTACAGATTGCACTTCTCCCAGCTGCACTCTTTTGGAGCTCTGTAAAGCACACAGTCACCTGTCTCTGCTACTCGACATTATTATGCTAGTTGGTAAGAAAAATACACAAGAAAACTTAAAGGCCACTGTATGCATTGTTGTAAATAATTATGCCATGGGATGTAAAGTATATCTTTCTTACAAACCAGGCAGCAAGATGATCTTTCTTTCAGAAGGTTTAAATACTAAATATTCCTTACTTTTATTAGCACCTCTTTACATACTGGGAAATACTGTTCTACTTTCTTTATAAAAGGGATTATCCTTTCTGTCTGTTTAAATGGGTTTATATGCCCCTCAGTCATAGTGAGGGAGGAAGTAGCTTCAAAGCTTTGAAAACCCAAGCCTTTAAAATACGTTTTTATGAAGTAATGAGCATAATCAATATATGGTGATAGGTTTTATAAAAAAACTTCTTATAAACTGCTGGTTTTATCGTCTTATAATCTGCTGGTCCTGATCGATACTTTGAATAATTCACAGTTTTCTCACTGCTATATGCAGAGAAAACCCAGTATCCCTCCTTGAAAGTGTCTTGCTTTAGGGCCAACAAGAAACAAAGAAAAATGTAACCGTTCTAAATAATTCATGTGCTACATTGTGTCAAAACTGCATTTGAAGAGTTTAAACTCACCCAGGGAACAGCACAAACGTCCCTGGTGGCATATACCAGCTAAATATGAATGCAAATCACTGCTTCTTTAAGTATTTATGCAAATTAATTTTTCAGTTGGGCATGAGGTGTTTATACTTTAAGCCTACCAAGTTGATTAATGACTTGGTCAACATAAGTCTTGGTTCACAGGGAAAGCATCTGCAGATAAGTAAATCAAACACTACTTGCCAATTTATAACATAGTATTTATGCTTCTACCCCGTGCATGCTGAATGATGGCAGTGGCACATGAATCAAATGGGAACTTCACAGATTCCCAAATGCCACAATCTGCCAAGATTTCATTAGCAATACCATAAAATAAAGTTTTCGATCTGGAATCTGAGTAATTTCCTAAGGAAATCAAACTTAGAGAGAAAAGCCACTTTGTGCTCTTTGAAAGTCAGAAAAAGACAAATGAAGTCCAACTCTTGGTGGCCGAGGTGTGAGAAGGAGTTGCAGAGGAGGAGTTACCCCGAGGGCTGGGGTGGGTGGTGCTGCAGAGACAGGAGTGAGTGCTGAACGAGACACCCTCTGCACAAACTGCACAGCCTGCCTCTATCCTTCCTTCCCTCCTAGGACACCTGGGGGCCCTGTTCCATACGGATCAGGACAGTTAGATCCAGCACAGAGAAGCCTGAGCAGAGCCCTGCAGCCAAATCACTGCTGCATCAGGGTGAGGATGGGGGACACCAGGACTGGGTGACACGGCCGAGCCACCTCACACCCTCAGCCCAGGCAGAACAGGGCCATGAAAAGGACGGCACTTAAAAGGCAGAATAAACAGGAATAATTAATTTTCAGGTACTGCAAAATGATGTGATCACCTTCAGATTCCCCCCATCTGTTGCTAAGCAGCATTCTTAAGTCACAAGCTTTGCCTTACAAAATGAACAGCAGCCTCCACACATTTTGTTATTTTTACATTTTAAACTGTTCTTTTGCCAAGTTTTCATTATAACTGTATTTTTCAAAAGGCTCTAAAACAAAACAAGACGAGCACTAAGATAGCTGCATCCCTTGGGAAAAGGTTTCAGTTACTACCTGGGACAAGCAGCTCGTGGACTCTCCAGTCTCCAAAAAGGAGTTACAAGAGCCTCCATCTCCCACAAAGCACTTTCTGCCTCTCAGCCCTGAGCTTTCCATGAGAAATTGAACCTGCATCATGGAAAAGGCAAGAGTATGATACATTTGGTTTTGTATATTCATTATCAATTTCAAACCGTATAAACAAAATCTCAGAATTTTTCCTGTGGTGGTAGTGAATTAATTGCATTAATTCTTTCAATCTGTGCTAAAGATGTTCCAATGAGCAGACTCCCATTCGATGCTCTGGGCATTCTGACAAAAATTAAAATTAAATTAACTAGCTCCCTCTGCTAGAAATTCTCTCTCATTTAATTAGAAGTAAAGGGCTGGCTGCCAACATTCCAAAACTAATACCAAACATCCCCACTGCAAACACCATCTCCACAAACGCTTTGATGTACTGCGGAAAATTTCAGAAATCCTCATTCTTGAAGACCAAGAGAAGCAAGTGAAAAAGAGTTCGGGATCTTTCACAAACTGTGGGCTGTTAATTGCTCACACTTAGAGCCCATGAGTCTGCAGTTTAACCACACTACACTGGTAACTCAGTTAAACAAAATGAGCAATCATTTGGAAGTGCAAACTGCCCAACAGCTCCATCTTTGATATCCATGGAAAGAGTAAATCATAAACTAGAATAACACGGGCCATCCTGTGCAGCCTGTGGTCTGGAGGTGCCTTCCAAGGAGAGGAAATATTCACATTACAGCAGGTCTTTTCCTACCCTTCTACAGGAAAGGCAGAAGGTTTTTGCACGGTCTGCTAAACCAGCTCCAAGGTGATAAATGATACCTTTTCTTGCCAGTCTCTCCCCAGGGTAGCAGTAAATAAGACCACAGCCACCATCACACAGGCTTCTTTTTTGTTAAAGTGTTTTTAAACACTAGTAAGAGACTGACTGGAGATTCTGGAGTCCTCTGCTGAACCACAGGATGTACCCTCAGCTCTCTAGAAAAGCATTTCCCAAAGGGCTACCCTGAAAGCTTCCCAACCCTCCCTGTCTAACTGTAGCAGCATTTAGAGCCACCCAGCTAACAACTGCTTCTCACACAGCCCCTGGCCCAAATCCACACACAATAATTAGTCCATGACTTTTCATATCTTCCCAGGTGCCTCAGCACCCACAGAAGCAACAACTCGACTTGGCCCCATCCCCAGCTACACCCCCCAGCCTTGGAGCAGCTGCATTGCTCTGCCACTGATTAGGCCATCACTGTCTTGGCAAGGAGTATTGCTTAGTGAAGATTTTTATTTCATATAAATTAATATATCAACAGAATACCTTTAATAACCTGGGCACTTGTATCCACTTATGCCCAGGAATATCTGGGGACCTACACTTTACCTGGAGGAAAGAGAAGCAGAGACTGTTGTTTTTAATCTTTGTTCATCTTTTTTTTATTCTCCCCCAGCTGAGTAGAAGGACAGGAAGCAGGTAACCAAACCTGCAGCCTAGGGGTAGGTAAGCAGGCAGACCTGTTGCCAACTCAGTCTCATCCCTGCAAGCCTCCAATTCCTGCACAACTGCAGGACTGTAGCTGAGACATGAAAGAACAGCAGTCCCTGGCATGTGTCCTGTTGCTTAAGGGAACAGGCAGATGAGGAGAAAAGAGGCATGAGAGGCTGCAGAGATGGAATACACACGTGTTCAAAGGTGGGGCTGCACCTACACAAGAGGAAAAACAGGCAGAAAAGTCTAATGCAGGCCAAATGGGCTGATAGAGGGGATACAGGTACTCCAGGAAAAAACAGCCAAAACAGGGAAGCCATTGGGAGAATTAGAGAAAATAAACCACTGGAAGGATCAAACAAAAATGAAAAAATAGAATTTAAATGCCATCAGTAGATATATCCATTTCTTGTGACAGACTACTAAAGCTTCAGTACAAGACTGAACTCACAATTAATAAAAACAACTGCTGTTTGGTAGTGGTGCAAAACTCAATGCAGTACCAGCCGATGTTCAGGAGTTATAAGCACTTTCTGACACATAACCCTCAGTGTAACCCTGTTTTCTTTCACAAGAAGCCACTGATGAGCTGCAGTGAGCTCCATTCAGTAAGGTCAGCATGACTACAGTTGGCAACAGAGACTAAAACTACAGGATCATTGCTTCCAGACATCGAGGCCCTTCTGGATAATCACTGGGTTCAAATCATTGGAAGTTTCTCTAGAGAATACAAAAACCTTATGGCAGAGATAAGGTCAGCCTACTGTTTCTGTAACATGGCTGTTTCAAATTAATACTGGTTTATATTGCTTATTTAACCAGTAAGCTGGTGGGAGGTTTTCATATTTTTTGCCTTAATTCTTCACTATTACACTGATAAACTCTGTCTTCTCCTCTTTCAGTCTCCTCGTCCAACAGAACTAAGAACTGGTTCTGTGGTTTGCACAAAAAGTCCATCTAGTCCAGCATCCTCTCTCTAAGAGCAGCCACAATGAGACATTCCACATAAACATCCCATCCTTTGCTCCCTATTGAGCTCTAGGAATTGTTCTCCTGTGAGAGAACCAGCCCTTTTTAACTAAGCTGCCATTTTGTGAGGGCCTGTGCAACCAGAATATTAAAAGGTTGTTCAAATCCAAATAACACTTTATCAACAACTTATCCTCTTCCCCCTCAGTTATTTGAATAGTTCTAAGGATCCTTTGGAGAAAGCTCTTTGCAGAAAGTAGTTATTTCATCCTTGCATAGCATGTTTTGTCAATCTTTGATCTCAGGCCTTTAAGGAATATATTGGAATGTAATACTTAGAATTTATAGGGCACTAAGAGAAGCCACAGTAGTTCTTGCCCTAGTTTCAAAGTAGCTTGCTCAGCTGTAAACTAACTGCCTATTATTCTGTAATCCAGCAAGTTATGTGGCAAAATTGTGGTCTTTACTCAATGAATTCTACCAAGAAATGCAACATCCCCCATCAAATATGGAGCTGGCACTTGGCTTTGGGAGCCAAGGCTAACAACTGAATTTCTTTTTCTGCAGGTAGTCCAAGTCTTTGAGGACATAACCTGCCTAAAATGATGAAAGAGCACAGATGACAGATATTGCAAAAGCTAAGATATCAAAGAAATAGGGATTTAACTCTCTAGAAAATGAGAATACGATAACCACATCTGCATTGTTACTAGAAAGTTTCCTCTGCATGTTCCTTTGCCCTCTAGCTCAGACCTGATCCAAATATCCTAATAAGCAGCAATTTCTGCAATCATATCCTGTACTGGAACTTCTCTTGAGCTTCCATGTTAATTGTTCTTTTGTGGACTGTGCTGGAAAAACTGCAAGTACTTTCTAACAAAAATATCGGGCGCAGTGAACAAGGATCACAAAATGCTTTTCTCAGCATCTGAATTCTTACAATGTGTAATTAAACCTCTTAGAGGTTAATCATTCAATAAACAGTCACATTGAGCAAAAAGCCTCACACACTACATACTAATTGCAACCTGAACAGAGAAAACCCCAAGTGGTTCACTGGGGCTCTGGTGTAAAGGCAGATCTACAGAAATTCAGGGAAATGCCTAATTTTTAATGTGCAGAAATTGATTTATCTGAATTTTCAGTGCTTCAATGAAAGTACGTTTCCAACATGTTCTAAAGCAGAATTAAAAAACTTAACAGCTTCAAAAAACATTCTTATGCCTATAAATAACAAGAACTAGAAATTCTGATGTTTAATATAATTCATCTACATGGCATTTCTATTTGGAGAGAGGTGGAACTATGATACACTTCATCTGAGTAGGTGCTAAGCTTGTCTCTGAAATAGCATAAATTTGGTTCTGTTTTAAACTAAGTACTCCAGCTATTTGTGTTAGCAGACACAGGCTTCAAGTGCTTTCTTGGGAAGGATGTTACAAATCACAATGTCTCAAGACTAGGATAACAAAAAAAACCCTACTTGAAAATTTATGCTCATGTTTTCTAAAATTCCTCACTAGAGTTTACACAGAATGTGGTTTTATTGAGTGACATTGGATTTCCTCCACTGAAAGCTGGTGTGATTCTGGTATATATTTTTCAGATATTTATATATCAGAAAAAGAAGAATAGACTGGAAGACCTGCATTGTAAGACAATCTTTTTCTAAGCAGCAGTAGCAAGTTGTTATTGATAATCAGGCAGTGAGATGCAGTGGTTATTGCACCAACAGCAGGGCAATTCCATGTTCATGGGAAGCTCTATATCCAGGCTGGAGTGACAGCAAGGGATTCTTAATATTACCAGACAACAGTGTCTTCTTTTGATCAACACAGATATGGACTTTGTTGGTCGAGAAGAAATGCAATAAGCTTTCTCTTTTCTAATGCCCTCAAGAAAAGAACTGATGGAAAGTGCTTGGAAAAAAGTGCAAACGACTTTGAGGTGTCCTCAAAGATCATTACAGACATATCTAAGACAAGTACACTGATGATTTTACTGCTGCTGCTTGTATTTGATATGACTTTGACACATAAAATGACATGGGTGAATTTGGTAAGTCCTGTGCTTAAAATTAGTTACAGAATAGTTTTATGTATGTTTTAAATAATGAATTGTCTTTATTAACAAATCTGAACACAGTGTATACATCTTGAGAAGGAATTCTTTATATAAAGCCTGTACTAGAACTGAGAAGCATCTATAGTTTCTAAATCATTCCTAAAAAGGTTTGCATTGTTACTAAACAAAGAGTCCTTCCCTAAAGTATACAGCTTGCAACTGCATGATGAAATATATTTTTGTTATAAATCACAACAAATATTTTTATTTGTGCATTAGTTTGGATATTAAAATACTGACAGTGTCATTTGTATGCTTCCCCTGTTTCTAACAGCAGGACACTGGTTTGAGAGAGGGAGTGTTGGGTGCCCCTTTTCACACAGCAGCACTGCTCTGGCAGCTCAAACCACTGTACTGCTGTTCCTTATCCTGATCCTGTTGTAAGAAAGGGAACACAGAATTCACTGTTATTCTTGGAGGGCTCTCACTGAACTATTCTGTAATAAGAAGGAAGTGTTGTACATGTCCATGCCCAAGACAGGAAAGGTGGTGTTCAAAAGACAAGAACTATTGTGTGGAGCCAGACAATTTCCATAGAGTGATTTTATGGAAGACATCATTTTAAGTAGTTATTTGCTATGTCTCCTGTTTCACTGGCTCATATCACCACATTCTTTCAAAAAGCACAAATACCTTCAAGAAATGAGCACCAATGGTATTTAATGTCAACCCTTTAACACACCTTTGTCTCAGATATCTCCTTTTCAGGCTTTTAGTATCCTGTAGTATTCCTTATCATGGAATACTCCATGTGTTCTGTAATATGAACCACATCCATACCCCTCTAATCAATGAAGGGGCAGTGCCTTCACACATGCAGATGTTGAAATAAGTAGAATGCTCCAGGCTGCATTGGGACATTGAGGGGATTTACATTTCTTACACAATGCTCTTGGATGTGCTTGTTTCCTCAGATTCCATTCCCTCTGTAAAGAGGTAATCTGCATTTCTGGAATAAGGATGGAATTTCAGTTCTTACATACAGATAGAAATACAATCTATAAGCGACCATCCCCTGAAATCACAGATAATCTTTTCATGGTTCTGTTTTTCAAACATGTTGGCTAACTTAAAGGAAGAAAAGGTAAAGAGCAAGACTGGACTTTGTCAACATAATCTCTCTGTAGCAAAGGGATGTCTCATTCTTTTAGGAAAACAGAAAATAAAGATTTCTTTGTGAATAGAAACCATTCCACGGAGATTAATACAGCAAATATTCCTGTTATTCAGTGCATTTGAAAAAAAAAGGGAAAACCCTAACATAATTTCTTTGGCATAATTATCTGACATCCCATCCTCAGTATCATTCACACCTGAAATTTTTTGCTAGTATTTACACTATAAATCTTTTTTTCCCTAAATCCTTTTGGGTTTCTGTGCACTATTGAACTTTTAGGTAAGGATGTTGTTGTTGTTGGTTACTTAATAGTTTTCCTAGAACTATCTAGACCAAAGTTTTACTCCCAAAATATTAAAAAATTAGAAGATTTCATAGAAAAGGGCAACAGCAAATATTAGGTAATTTTAAAGGATAATATATATGTTCCAGGCATGGCCATTGGGATGACCTGATGAAATCTCCTTGAGACTAAATGTCCATTGAGACTAAATGTGAAAAACAGAGTAGTATTGCTGAATAAGAATTTATTTATAAATGTCTTTACTCTCTACAAATTCTGACCATGTTAAATGCACTTGTCCCTGCCAAATGCACGGAACTAAAGGCATTCCTGTAGTTGTTCCACTGCACAGCTCTGTTTAACTGTATCAGTCTCACCCACTTACATACATCTCTGTTACCTTTTCCTGCTGGTTTTGTTAGCAGCAATAGCTGCTTGTGTTATGTAATAATCTGTCCTGAATTTAGAGTATTGTTTCTGCCAGTCTGAGAAAATGATGTTTGGACACAACAGACATCCACTGAATTTGTATCCATTTCTCTGCCTTAATTTCCAACGTTTTAGGACTGTCTCCAAGTAGGGTAATAGCACAGCAGGACACCTTAACTGCTTTGTAACCCTAATTTGATTGATTAGATGCTACACAGTAAACTGAGCACTTATCTGTGGTTTTAAAAGCAGACTCACATCTGAACTGTTTCATTTGAAGAGGGACAGAAGTAAATCTGGAGCAAATTACTGGTTTTAATGAGATCTTTACATAGTTCATTGCTAAGTTTCCAGGTCATTGTTTTTAGTTTGTTCTGAAATTGGATAAAATCTGATTAGCTGACTGCAATCTAGAGAAAAGAGATATGTACCCTGTTTTAAAAAGCCAAACAAATAATAACGCTTCCAATTCATCTAAACCAATTTGAACAAGTAATTCTTTAAATGTCAAAGCATTTGTTTATGGTGAAGCATAATGTTGTCTTAAAACTATAAGAAATTAAAACGTGACCTTTTTTTTGTGCCTGTGGTGTCACTGCTTAACAGATGCACCAAAAAACTCTTTGGAGCAGGGAACCTTGTTTTGCTTGGTCAGCACGACACAGTCTCCCAGCAAGCTCCTGGACACTAGGAAATGGCAAATAATAAAAAAGCTGTTTTAGACCATTGCACCAAGTGGCAGCTCGGTCCTTAAGCTGTGAGCCAAAAAAAAACCCAACCAAAAGCAGCAGGGTTGCATAATAACGGGCCTGATGCAGTGTACTTACAGAACAGGACTGGCTCGGCATTAGTAAAAGTCAATTTGTTAGATATTCACTGCTGTAAGCACAGTGTTGCTCAACATGTGCAATAAATTATTGTGTGCGTGCATGGTCATATTCTGCTTGCAGAATAAGCGCCGGTGTTCGCTATTGCACGTTCTCAAGCATAAATCATCAGGTTTCCAAAACCTCTTTGAGGGATTTTTTTTTTCCTCGTGATTGGTTTGATGTTGAATCAAGTTCAGTCACCTCAGACACTGACAGCTAAGCCTGAAGGTAAAACGCACGAGGTATGAGTCCCATCTTGTTTGTGAGTGTTTGCACAGCCGACATTTGAAGCCATGCCCTGAGTTTTGCTTCGAATTTCAAACTCGTGCTGCTGCAGCACCTGGAGGGGTGCGCTGAGGGCCTCAGCGATATTTACCCCAGGTTCCCTCAGCCTCCGCCCACCCCGGGCACGGCCAGAGCACCCAGGGCCACCTGAGTAGGGGCGGCCACAGCCCTGGAGGCCACTCGGCAGGGAGTGGCTGTGAGGGTCGGGCCGGTTTGCTCGGGGCGGGGGAGGGACCCCAGAACGTTCAGAAATACCTGTATGAGGAATAGTGTGGCAGCAGGACCAGGGCAGGGGTTGTACCCCTGTGAGGGGGACACACTCGTGAGGCCACACCTCGAGTGCTGCGTCCAGTTCTGGGCCCCTCAGTTCAGGAAGGACATTGAGGGGCTGGAGAGGATCCAGAGAAGTGCAATGGATGTGGGGCAGGGTCTGGAGCACAGGGGTGATGAGGAACGGCTGAGGGAGCAGGGGGTGTTTGCCTTGGAGGAGGCTCGGGGGGGCCCTCATTGCTCTCTACAATTACCTGAAAGGAGGCTGTAGCCAGGTGGAGGTCGGGCTCTGCTCCCGGGGAACTCGTGACAGCATGAGAGGACACAGGCTAAAGCTGCGCCTGGACATTAGGAAGAATTTCTTCACAGAAGGGGTGATCAGACATTGGAATGGGCTGCCCGGGGTGGTGGTGAAGTCACCGTCCCTGGAGGTGTTTAAGGCACGACTGGCCGTGGCAGTCAGTGCCTTGGTCTGGTGGACAAGGTGGTGTTGGGTCACACGTTGGACCTTCCCAACCCAGTTTTGACTCTGCCGTTCCGCTCCGGGGACAGCGCACACGCGATGCCCTCAATCGAGCTCTGAGGGGCGCGAGTGCCCGGATGTGCGGCCCCGCCCCCTCGCCCGCCCCCCGCTTCCCACACGCGCGCGCCCCCGCGCGCGGCCCCCGCGGGAGGGGCGGTGCCGGCGCAGCGCTCGCGAGAGGAACATGGACACGGACATGGCCGCGGCCGCGCCGGGCCGGGGTGAGCCGGGGCGGGCGGGGGGCACCGCCGGGGCGGCACCGCGCGGGG